TGTAAACCCTTATATGTAAACTGTTCAAACTTTATGATAGAAAGGCTCGATTTCGTTTAATTAATTAATTAATTCAATATGGATGTTTTAAGAATTAAGCGTTCATTAAAGTGACTAAGGATTTTTATTTAATGTTTATTTGAAAATTAAAAAATTCTCCAACCTCCAGAAATGATCTGTATTTAACAGCATATAAAATTATAAGTTATTATCAAAATAATCTCAAAAGATAATGTAATTACATATAAGGAATATTTATAATATATATTCCTTCTTTTCATATTATTGGTTTTTGCTAAGTTCTATCAGTCTGTAGAAGCTTTAGATGTTTGGGATTGATCTACACTTATTGATTTTAAGATTGAATTTAAATTTTCTCCCTAGCAATTAACACCACCACTAATTTTTATATATCTACCAAATTCTAAATGCAAAATAAAGGTGATATAGGTGGTATAATTCTAGTAAATATATCTATAAGTCTTCGGACATAATTCGACCAAATTCTCTAAATATTAGTCGTTACCATGCAAATAATGGGTCAGCAAAAGGCTCGAATGTCCGGTTTACCTTAAGCATCTCTGCATCATTGTGTACTCTTTCTTCGCGTTGTCTCGTTTCTTCCAACAGTTGTGCGTGCCTCTTTCGCTCTGTTTGATTACTACGTTTCAGGCTGCTCACTTTGTTTTGTGTTTCATGCAGCTGCCTGAGGGAGTTATAAGATAGATATGGTAAACCAACAAATGGGTGATCGGTTAAAAGCAACATATGAGATGAATTTGAGGTACTTAAACAAGATGACAAGTATGATAAGAAAACTGCAGTAAGTCTCCTTAATTAATTAAGAATTGCAAAGTTGCTAAATCTTTCAAACATAATTCTGAAAAATGAAATGAATTTGAGATATGATAACTGTACTTTAAACCTGAATTTATCATAAATTTAGAAATGCTCCCAAGTAAATTTATTGTCACAAATTTAAACGCATATTGTAAAAGGTTAGACCCAATATAAAATATTAGAAAGAAAAAATAAATATATCTATTTCTTTCAATCAGCAAATAATAAAAATACTCATAGCCGTGATGTAAAAATCAAAGGCCGCTGTAAAAAAATAAAATTAGAAAGATATTTAAATGTTTAGGTAGAAATAAATAAGCTTCATCGCCCATTCAACACTGATATAAAGGTTAAAGCAACATACATGAACTCACTCTTCTAGTTCCTGCATATGATTTTCCTTGTCCATCTTCTCAGTATCCATATTTCTTACTAAACCAAGTAGGCGATCTACCTCAGTTTGCAACTTTGTGGTTGACTCCATATAGTGATTGACCTGAGATTCAAGATCTGTAATGCGTTGTTGACACTTCAACTCCATCTCACTGGCAGTCTGTTTCTGCATCTTTGGATGAGCAGAAAGAGGACACAATATTGCAACTTCTTAATAAGAAGTAGGATCACTTGAGTGAAATCTTTTATTTAAAATTTATCGTATAAGAGAGTTCAATGTCAAGGTTAGATTGATTATAATAAAGTGTTTATA